CCTTGCTTAACCCCGAGTCCGTAAGCGTTGCTGCTCCAATCTGAGGTCGTTGAATAGAAACAACGACGGTGCAGAAGATGCAGGAGTTGCTCGAATCCTCTTTATTTCTAACTTTAATTCCAGGAGTTGCAGAAGATGCAACAACTTGATATAATGCTTCCTTTTTCTACCTTTAGCTTCTTACTCTGCCTGTTCCACAAGTGCAGTGCTAAGCTTTCTTTGAGAATTTCCCCATGTTTCATCGCCGTTCCCAAGTGATGATTCCCGACCAACGAAACGAGAGAAGGAGAAGATTACAAAGATATGAAAACCTTTTTATTTGTCATTGGTAGAAATGTGCAACACACAATTCACACAATGGTAACTCACTTTTAAAAACAATAAAAAAAGAAAGGGTATTTTAGTATTTTCAAATAATTTTCCTATCAATATTATATCTTCAACCAAACACACACTCAAAAAATTTAACCCAATTTTCCCGGTAAACTTTTGGCAAACCAAACAACTTTTTTTACATTTTCCTACTAAACTCACTTTCCAACCATTTCCCTATCAATTACATTTCCCTAGTATTCAAAAAATTTCTCCTCAACCTAACGCCTTCTTATTGCTATTGTGAGCCCAAAGGAAACCCACCACGTGGGAAAATGAATGGATGATGGCAAGAGGGCTTGCTTGAAATCCTCGTTACTCTCTATGTATTCTTAACTTCTATCACATGTAAATGCACCACAGACATTTGGTAAATGAGAATTTTTTTTATCTGTAATTTCTATGAATATGATAGGAAAGTGAATTTTTCGGAAATAATATTATCAAAAAACTATTTGTAGGCCAAAATAATCTCATAAATATTGGGTCAATTCTTCTGATGTTATGTTTGGTTAATATAAAATATTGATGGGAATATATACTGAATTTACAAAATTAACCTCAATCTCGATCTGTATATCTGCCATTTTTATTTCACGACTCGAATATCCATAACAATTCAAATCCCTGAGGGGTTCTCATAGTGAAAGACCCAATTCCAATAAGTGGGTCAAACAAAGATAACCATACCTCCCGAGATGAATTCATTATTCTACTTATACGTTCACGAGTCACGATAACTTATTAGTGTTCTTCGTTGTTGAAAATGCAGGGGCTATACACCTTCTCAGACCCAAAACTTGTTTATAGTCATGCTGTCTACCATTCTTAAGATCATTATTCTGTTCTCAGCAATATTTCATCTCGATCGACTTATATCTCTGATTAGTTGAATAATAAGGTGATCTAAGAAAGAGCTCATCCATAGTATTCAACAATGGAATTTTAAAGTAATTGTGCAATTATATTATCCTCCTTCATATCCTTCCATTTGAGAGTGTTCCTAATATCTCGAGATCAAATTGTGTTTTAAGTGTGAGTAAAACTACACAACAAGAGAGAAGAGAGAAAGTAAAAAAGGGGCAATTGATATTTATGATCCTTATTTGATTAGTTAAAAAAAATGATTAGAAAATGGGTTGATTAATACTTGATAGTTCGTGAGGTATGTGGATAATATGCACTTATTAAGTGTCTTAATATATAATTTGCGAGTTCATAATATCTCAATTAATCTAATTAATTGCATTGTTTAATTTTGGATTATTTCAGTATTGCTTCACCAGGGGATACAAGTGCTCAAATAGATTAATGTTTTTTTTTTCTATCTGGATTTTCGGATTTAAATTAGCTCATGAAAAAGCTTCACCGTTTTATTTTCCGGTTACACATCTTACCAGTTACCAAAATGCGTGATGACTATTTCAACCATATATATCATTTTGCTTATGGAATTTGATGGGGGGGGGGGGGGGGGGGGGTGGAAATAACGAGAGAAGATTGACAATGATTTAATTAAACGGTTTGGTCGATGCTTAATAGAAAGGTAGAAAACTAAACGTTATTGGTAAAATTAAATCATAGTCGTAGTAGTAGATATATTAGTTGACTTTTTATAAATTTCACAGAAATTTACTATAATTCCGCTTCAGGCGCTCGGACCCAAAAGTTGGATCTGCTTTCATCTGTCCTCAAGTAGGGCTACTATGGAGCACAGCCACATGTTCCACAAATATACCACACAAATGATGTTGAAGGATCCAGGCCCAACAGAATTAAAAGGAAGCCCAACCTGTTTTTGGACTAGAGTGAGCAAGAGCCCAACATCTTACCCCTGCAGATTAATTAGTTTCGCAGACTTACCTTCTAGGCATTTATATTTTTTATCTCTTAAATAATTCCGTCTTTATCGTTTATTAGTTAGTTTGATTGTTATAACTAGGATTTGGCTTTTCGATTACTTATCCTTATCTTTAGCCTAATTTTAGGTAGTTTCAACTTTCAATTACATTGCAGTATTAGGATTAGAGTTTTATAAGAGTTATGTTGTAGGAAAAGTAATTGTGTAATGTTATAGAGATTCGTTTTGCGTGTCTTAATTTTTTATTTATTTTTTTGTTTTAAAAAGTGTGGGCCCCACAAAATATTGTGAGTGTAAGAAAGTTTGTTGTAATATGTTAAAAGATAAAACGAAAACCCTTAGATTATATAAAAAAGAGATTGTAATTATATTCCACAATAAATTATTGATGAGTTCTCACATCTTCCTCTCTCTTTCCTTCTCCTTGATTTTTTTTAAAATCTGACCCCTACAGCTACTCTCTAGCTAGTGTCTGAGTAATTTGAGTAATTATATTAGCATAATTTTTTTGTTTTACAAAATAAAAAAAAATTATATTGTTTTTTTATGGTCGAAGAAAAATATACTACATAGTATATGGATATCAAATATCATACTCAAAGAACTACAATATTATATGTATGATCAGTTTAGCGATGAGTATTTATTTGAGAAATGCCGGTCCGTGCTGCTTTCAGAGTGGTACTTGTTGTGCCAAACTTGTTGGCATGTGACTGTGCTGAGTCTATTCAAATTTCAGATGGATGTGACATGGCGGGGGATGAAGGGACGTGCCACTAGATTGGAACATAAGCCACTGAAGAACATCTTCAGTGGCTCAAGAGTACTTCTTCAGTGTGTATCCATATTAAGAACTTCTCACAATATTACAAATTTACATATATATAACTGACATGAGAGACAGTGATGTTTAGTTTTTTTCACCATAATGGTATTCCTCTTACCATGTGTTCCCGCACATGCATGCTTTTCGACACATGCTAGCACGTGCTTACAATCTTTATAAATCAACCCAAGCAAAAATATTAAAATATTATTATTTAAATAAAAAATTATCAAAACATAATATCTTAAAACTAATTTACTAATCATAGCAAATAGTAAAAAGATTATATTTATCTCATTCAAAATGAGATAACTCATCTTCTTACACACATAAAAAAGGTGGATTTCACTTTTTTTTCTCTCCAATCATTTGTGGGTCACTTTTATTATTTTATTTCACTAACATAAGATAACTTATCTACATCAACATAAAAAAAATATTTTCCTTAGTAAAATGAGCGGAACTTGTCACGCCCAAATAAGACACAATAGTAGGATGCATGGTCGAGACAAATTTAGATGCGACTCACCCGTTGCTAGCACGTGGGACAAAAAGTCAATAGTTTGATCCTAAAACTTTGGAAGACTGTAACTTTTGACTTGGGTATCTGAATCAGGTATTTTTTATTTCACATAATTAATTTTTTGAGATCTACGCAATGACATCTCATTGAAGGAGATTTGGTCAATAAAATTTCTAATTTTTTTCGAATTTGAGATATTTTACAGTAAAATTTTGAAAGACCATAAGTTTTGACTCGAGAGTCTGAATCAGGTACTTTTTTATTCCATGTAACTTTTCGAGAGCTACGCGCTGAAAAATTTTCGAAGGGGATTTTTGGTCAATTTCCCCCCAAAAAAAGTGCTTCTAGAATTTTTCGGAGTGTAGATCTCAAAATGTTATTTAGAATAAAAAAATACCTGATTTGGATATTCGAGTCAAAAGCTATAGCTTTTCGAAGTTTCACGTTAAAATATCCCAAATTCAAAAAACAAAATTGAAGATTTTTTTTAACCAAATTCTCTTATATGGGATGTCATTGCTTAGATATCAAAAAATTAAGTGAAATAAAAAAAATAACTGATTCAGATGGCCTTCCGAAGTTTTACGATCAAACGGTTGAATTTTTTTTTGCCACATAATGTCAGCATCGGGTGAGTCGAGCCTAAATTGGGTGCGACCATGCACCATGTTGCACCTTATTTGAGCGCGACTAGTCGCTATAGATTCATAAATGGATTTCAAAATGCTTACATTTGTAGAAATAATACTTAGTCTTCAACTATATATTGAAATAACCCTTTATAAAATTCAACACATTTGTTTTTACATAACTATGATAATGTTTAAAGTGTATATCTTTTGGTGATGATCTAATCAATATTTAACATTATTTGGTGATTATTTAGAATAAAAAGTAACATAAAATAGTTTCAAAATCATGATTTATAATCATCAAAATCATTGATTTATTTTTTTATATTATAAATTATGATTTACTAGAGGCAAAGTCATGAAGTTTAACCCGCGAATGTACTTTCTCATTTTCATTGTTAGTGCATCCGATAATGACTTTATTCAACATTTAAATCACGTGGCCAGTTCAATTTGTTTAGTTGAATTGAACAAATAAAAGGGGACAGCGAAAATTTATATATATGAATCAAATATCAATTTAGATAAACCCAACTATTACAATTATATAAATTATATTATGGCACCATCATGGCAAGAGTTACTAGTTCGCTTGCATTGAAACACGGCAAGGAAAAAACAAAAGCAAAAAATAAAAACAAAAGTAAAATCAGAATCGGTTGTGCAAATGCATATGCGCAAATCACAACAAATTAACAAAAATAATAAAGTATATATATAGTTATTCAAGCTACAATTAATTTCTTTGAGTAATGCCACGCTTTTCGGTGTATATGTATATTCAATTCATTCCACACAATTCGTCGTTTCTTCACTTTTCGGAATTGTTCTCCTTGAGAAAGACAATACATATTCTTCACATTTGACTGTTTGGTCTGCATGTGCAAATGTGTCACATAAACTCTTTCCCACCAAGCTTTTGGCTTTCAATGACTCCCTTTCCCAATCAGTCTTGTATACCACAACTAAAATTGAGACCACACATGCTATTTGCGCTGCCAGCAACCCATAACATAGACCCACCATCCCTAGTTTCCAAACAAAGGCCAAGACTATAGCCACAGGTGCTCCCACCAAGTAAAATGAGCAAAAGTTTATAACAGCCCCAACACCAGGCCTAGCACTTCCTCTAAGTATTCCACAGCTTGTGGTTTGTGGACAATTGGCTAACTCACAAAGTCCAATTATTGGTAACACAACCATGGTCAACTCTAACACCTCATTATCACTAGTGAACACTCTTCCCCATCTTTCCTTCCCTGTTGTGGTCCATAACAAACCCAAAATTGAGCTTGCAAGTGCTAATCCTATGGCTACCACCGTTGACAAGCTTGCCCTTTCAGGTTGGCACGAACCGAGTTCATTGCCTACTCTCGTGGACACTGATGCGCTCAGTGCTGTCGGCAAAGTGTACAAAAGAGAGGTTGTTTGTATCACTATGCCGGCAGTGGCTAGAGCAACACGAGGGTTATAAAGGTAACCTGCTAAGATTGTCATGAACTCGTACCACCACCATTCCAAGCAAACAGCTAGACAACTTTGTATGGAAAATTTCATCAACATGCCCCATTCTTTACCTAGTAATGTAGTAGCAATATTACTAGTGGTACTTAAATTATGTGACAGGGGACGAGATATTATTATTAATGGCATAGACAGAGACTCCTTGGGGACACGTGCATAGAACATGTATAACAGAAGGAAGAAAAGGGTGTTGAAATTTGCAACAAAAGCTGAAATAGCAATTCCGGGTACACCGAGGTGAAGTTTGAATGTTAAAGTAGTGATGATGGGAATGTGTAGAAGAATGGCTAGTAAAGTGCACCACATTAGTGGCCAAGTTGTCCCTTTACTACGTAAATAGATGCGAAGAGGGTGAAGAAAGCTATTGGTGATGAGGTCAGGGATGGCAAAACGGCAATAGAGGCTTGCAACTCGGGTTATATCTGGATTCTGATGAAGGAAAAGCATGAGAGATTCAAGGTTGAGCCATAAAAAACAAATGGGAAGAGAAAATAGCAATAACATGAAGATTGTTCTCTGTAATGTGAGAGAGACTAAAGAGAAATTTCGAGAACCAAAGGCCTGGCTGCAGAGAGGTTCCATGCCCATGGCTAGACCAGAGAGAACAGAGTAACCAGTTACGTTGGTGAAGCCTATAGCCAAAGCACCACCGGCTAACTCGAGACTTCCCAACCTTCCCATGCATACAACTAAGGTCATGTTTTTGAGGTAACCCACAAGGCTCGTGGCTGCTATTGGGAACCCTATATCTGTCATTCTCTTTAGTTCATCCAATACCTAATAAAGAAAATTAAAAAAAAAAACACAGTGCACGAGGTCAGTGTGTATTGTATGTGAGCGAGTGAAAACTTAAAATCATGGATAAAGTGGAAAGTTCTGAAAGGAATTGTAAGGTCTCGTACCTCGGCAATTGTCGGGTATGTCTTTTGGGATTTCTCCTCCCCAAGCATCTTAAATCTTTTAGTTTTCCTTTCTTTTTTGGGTTTGTGTTTTCAGATATAGAATTATGAGGAACAGAAAGAGACAATGGGTATGTCTTTTTTTTTTTTTTTCCCAACACAAAACACTCCCTTCGATCAGAAAAGTGAGCGGGGACCAGGAATGAGAGAGGAGAGGGAGCAAGCAAAGTGGGTGTGAGAAGTAAGCACGGAGACCCTTTTATAAGGTTTGGAGGGGGTCGGTTACGCATGTACATTCGTAGGCATTGACGAACCAATCTCAAAAACTATCATATCAATTATTGTTAGTTCTCAAGAGAATGATCGAATGATCCTATGTATTTGGGGGGGGTTTTGTTTTGACAATGAATAATGAATATTTAAGTCTTTGTGTAGGTGAAAAATTTAAGTTGTTTAAATAAATTTACAAAAATGTATTTGTTTAAATTACCTTATGTGATTGATTTACTTATGTCTCGGGTTATTTTAATACTACGACCATATTATTTTAACAAGTAATTTATGTTTGAATTTCAAATTGACTTACCAAGGTTTTGACATGTCCTTCCTAAAAAAACAAAAAATAGAAAAATGTTAGTGGGAGTTCTTGATACAACCATTCAACTCTTGATACTATCTAAAAGTATATAAACTATTCATGAGTTTTCACTTAATAGACTTTTGGGTTGAATTGATTTTTTTTTGACATATTATCAGAGTTTCCTTGACCATATGGTCACGAGTTCGATCCTTACCACCCCCTATTTTTTAGTGAAATTAAAATAGTAAGCCAAAAATTGGACCTGTATAATATTCACGCTTCAAGCCCAAAGAACTAATGGGTGAGAGGTGTGTTAGAAAATAATATAAATCATTAAAAAAAAGCCTCTTTAATAGTTTATATTAAAAATTGCTTTTTTTAATGGTTTATATTATTTTCTAACACCCTCCAATCATGAATGCTTTGTTGGGCCATGCAGAGGGAGCTCATGGCGGAGAGAGATCGCCAACCATGGGCCCAGCGATATTAAGTGGGCTTGGAACACCACAATCAAACCCAAAACCTTAAGGTATTAGGTGTATGAGTCCTTCCACTTATATGGTGCTCACTTAGTCCATTCTTAACCAATGTAGGGCTTTTCACTCAATCATTCACACTTGAATTCCTTAACATCTTCCCCTAAAGAGTGAGTCCTAGGCCCACATTTTTTTCCCTCAAGAAGAAGCTTCTTCGAGTATTCATATGGTTCATCAATGTTTGGCTTCTCATTAAACATTGGCTCTTCCATCAAGGTTTGGCTACACTCATCAAGACCTTGGCTCCCCACATCAAGACATACTCGGATCACCACAGACCAATCCACCATTAGCTCCGATACCAATTGTTGGGCCATGCAAGGGGGAGTTCATGACAGGGAGAGACTGCCAACCATGGGCCCATCAACATTAAGTGGGCTTGGAACACCACAATCAAACCCAAAACCTTAAGGCATTAAGTGCATGGGTCCTTCCACGTATATGGTGCTCATTTAGTCCATTCTTAACCAATGTGAGATTTTTTCACTCAATCATTCACACTTGGATTCCTCAACATCTCCCCCTCAAGTGTGAGTCCTAGGCCCACATTCTTTCCCCTCAAGGAGAAGCTTCTTCAAGTATTCATGGGGTTCATCAATGTTTAGCTTCTCATCAAACATTGGCTTTTCCATCAAGACATTGGCTTCCCATATCAAGACATACATGGATCACCACAGGCCAATCCACCATTAGCTCTAATATCAATTGTTGGGCCGTGCAAGGGGAGCTCATGGCGGGAAGAGACCGCCAACCACGGGCCAAGTGAGCAGCGACTTTAAGTGGACTTGGAATACTACAATCAAACCCAAAATCTTAAGGCATTAGGTGCATGGGTCGTTCTACTTATATGATGCTCACTTAGTCCATTCTTAATTAATGCGAGACTTTTTCACTCAATCATTCACACTTGGATTTCTCAACATCCTTTTGGACTTGAAGCGTGGATATTATACAGGCCTAATTTTTTGTTTATATACTTATCTAACACGGCCCCTCACACGAGAGCCCACTGGACATGAAGCGTGGATAATGCACATGTATGTTGGGCCTGATGCATCGTACGTTGGGCCTTATGCATCGTCCACCTTTCAAGCCCAACGAGCTCTTTTGTGAGGGATGTGTTAGAGAAATATATAATTGATGGGCCTTCACTTAATAGTTTAAGCTTTTGAGGTGAATTAATTCTTTATACTATCAATCACAAAAACCTAGGAATAACTTACAGTAGTCTTAAGAGATTTTTTTTTTTTTTTTTGTGTGCAACAGTTTCGAAGTATTTATAGAAAAAGGTTAGACATTTGAGATAACTGTTACATAAACTTGTTTTAACTTATGAATTATACCAAACCCTAAATTTCAACAAGAAGGCCCAATATTAATTTTTTTAGTTTTAATGAATTCAAATCTTTTGCAAATATGAGGGAGTAAGAGACAAGATCATGACTCTCCATATGAATTGTACGCCCTTTTTGACACTAGCATATTTATATGGAAGTATCCCTACTACTCCTAATTAAGTCGGAACCAAAACAAGATACTTCTCGTATAGCTAGTTTTCAAATTCTTATTGAACATGTTGGATGGAATATAAGTTAATAATCCAAAAATGTACACCTAACGGATATATGAATAACTCCACAACGTGCGAGTAGTGCTGCAACAGTTGAAGTACGTACTAAAGACCTAATTTAAATCGTGTGATATATTGATCAACTGATGCCGCAAACTCAAATCCTTCTTTGTCATTTTCCCAACTATGTAGAAGCATCTGCCAGATAAAAAAAATGCATATATGCTGTATTACCAGAAATTTTATCTTCATGTTTAGAAGGAAGCTATTAGATGTGCATGTGAGGGAGACTATGGTGTATTTTGGATGGTGACGATTGTTCAATAGATCTCATGTAACATGTACACTGTGTGGTTTGAGCGATGTTCAATATATTGTGTTTCCGGTTTGTATAAATAATGTTTGTATTTAATTAGAAGAGCTAATCATAACAGGCTTATGTACTCGCAAGTCTATTTCTAAAGGAGGGTCAAGGTTCTCAACATGTTCGATTTCCTGTTATCGATCATATATTGTTAACTTATCAACATAATCCGACTGATGTTACCGTTATAGATAATAAATTTTATTTGTAAATAGTAGAATCGTAAATAGATTTTCTAAAGCGTGATTGAAGTACAAAAGGTTATAAAAAAGGGAACCATAGTTTTGGTACGAATCTTGCTATTATTTAATCCCTTGTGATGATTTGCTAGTATGAGGTCACTTCAGTAAGTTACCCCTAGTAGGGCCTTTGAAACCTTTCGGGGCCTTCGGTCCAAATCAGAAAACAGAATCGAAAGTTAGATTGTATTGTAAGCAAAAATTGCTTTTAATTCTCGTGTTTGCAACAACATTTTATTTTTTTTGATAAATCCAAAATCATAGAACTGTTCCAACCCCACAGAGTTTTCCTATTGGAACACACAAGCCTTGTCCAGAAAAGTGTCTATACCTAACTTGTTATTCCCATATGTAATCTATCCGCCCCACCCTGTGATTTTGGGACAAAGCCTCAAACCTCCCATTTACGTGTGTAAAGAATTTTAGAATAAATCACCCCAAAAGCTAGGTCAAAGGAGGGAAGTGTCCAATGTTTTATAAACTTCACATTAATTGCTCATACAACCAACGTGGGATTGTATATCTCAACACGCCCCCTCACACAAGAGCTCATTGGGCTTGAAAAGTGGACAATGCAACAGGCTCAGCCTACCTGTGCTAAGAAACGCCACAAGAGAAAGTGGAGGGCGGCGAGGCTCAGATACCATGTAAAGAACCTTGGTATACACCACCTCAAAAGCTAGCTCAAAGGGTGGGAGTGCCCAAGGCTTTATAAACTCCACATTAGTTGCTCATACAACCACAATGTGAGACTATATATCTCAACAACGTGACTGGTATATATTTTGTAAAGAACCTTGGGATACACCACCCCAAAAGCTAGCTCAAAGGGTGGGAGTGCCCAAGGCCTTATAAAGGCCATATTAGTTGCTCATCCAATCAACGTGGGACTATATATCTCAACACGCCCCCTCACCCAAGAGCCCTATAGGCTAGAAGCATGGAATTGCACAGGCCCAATTTTTTGTTTACCTTTTTATGCTTTTTATTTTAATTCCACTTTAAAGTGGGGGACAGTGAGACTCTGATATCATGTAAAGAACATTGAGGTCACCACCCCAAAAGCTAGCTCAAAGGGTGGAATTGCCCAAGGCCTTATAAAGGCTATATTAGTTGCCCATCCAATCAATGTGAGACTATATATCTCAACATATTTTTCAAAACAAAAAGCATCTCTTTCTCTCTTCCATTTCCTAATGATCATTGTTGTTAGATACTAAGAGGCTGTTTGGATGAGCTTTTTTTTCTTCAAAAGCTGTTTTTTTTAAGAAAAAAAAGCACTTCTTGAAAAAAGTCTGTTTGGATCCCTGCTTTTAAAAAAAGCAGAAGTCATAAAAAAAGTCAAAAATTTACTTTTTTCGGAAGCTAAAAATTTTAGCTTTTAAAAAAAGCAGAAGTCAAAAGTCAAATATTTTTTTTTCAAAAATCAAATATTTTTTAAAAAATCTAAATAGCTGTAACTTTTATAGAAAATAATTTTAAAATAAGGAAGTGATAAAAATGACTTTCTTGAAAAGGCAATACAAACGAGCCCTAAGGGTGGGGGAGTTTAAAAAGCGAAAATGTAATTGTGAAAAAGTAACAAAGTTCTTTTATTATTATTCTGAGTCGATTTATGAAAATAAATTCATGTCATTTAACATTTTTTTATCTCATATGTAAATTCAATACCAAAGAATTCTTATCTTAGACGTTGTTATAGAAATGTGGATGATGTATCAGGTTCAACCTATACATGCTACGAAATTTCACGAAGAAAGTG